CAACAAAAATGTATTGTAGTACTTTAGGCCCTAAAGTATTACAATACATTTTTAAGTAGTACAGTTTAGGGACTGTAATATAGGACGTGTTTTTGTCAACGATTTTTTACCAACTGTTTAGCTGCACTTTTTTTTTTGGTATTCTGATAATACGAACCAAACACGATGATAGAATTACTATGATCATCTATTATAAAATAATTTCTTTATGTCAATGACGGTCTTTATGTCTATTACATCTTTTTGTCGATTACACGAAATCGTAACACGATTATTAGAATGACCCCCAGCCCAAAAACATATCCATGTTAAAACAATTTTATAGACTTGAATCATAGGCTAAAAATGTAAACAAATGTACGATGATATGTGGTCAGGCCACGTGTGGAGGACAAAGGACATTTTGAGGAATGATCTAGCAGCAAAGTCAAATGGGAGTAGACTCAGGATTAACCCTAGAAAGCGTCGATCAGATAGGATCAATGATAATTCAATTAGGCGAGTAACAATGGCGGGTAGCATTATCAGAAACAGATGGAGGAATGTAGTGGAAGCAACGAAAAACATTCAAAGACAACGAAGGTCTACCTAGAAGGGACCCAATCCTAAAGGATCGACAGCTAAACAACTATTATAGCCGAGGCGTTAGTTCTACCAATGAAGATTGGAAAAATAAACAACAGTATATGAATAATATTTAAGAACTAGTACACACTTTACTTTGTCCAAAATGGTAAAAATATTTGCGTTTTCAGCAGTGTTGGGCAAATTGTAATCTGATTAATGATTAATGATTACGATTAATAATTGTAATCAGTAATCATAGTGTTAGATTAATGTAATCATATAAATGTAATCATGATTAAATTTATGGTTACATTAATCGTATAAATGTAATCATGATTATACTTATGATTACATTAGTCATTAGTTTGTAATTATGATTAAATTAATCTTTTAATTGTAATCATGAAATGATTAATGATTACATTTTTTTAACCTAGGGCGTTTTCTTTATTACATATAATCTAAATAAAAATATGGGATGTCTACGACGACGATTTGATTTTTTCAATGCCATCTATACAATTTTATTTTCGTTCAACATTTTATCTAAATTTTTTGGAATATTTTTTATATTTCAATAAAATCTAAATAAACTACTTACTAAATAAAAATTACTAAAATATAAATAAACTTCTTGTTGGCTAACGGAATATTTAGATAAAGCGAATTAAAAAAATTAATTTTTCGAAGGGATTACAACGGTTAAATCATTGTGGAACACTTATATAATATGTATATAAGTATATGTGTATATTTACTTATATATATTATAAAATAGGTTTATATATTATATAGTTTAGAGAATGCCTGGGGCGGTTAAACAATTTTTTTTTTAATCGTTTTACGATCACAATTGAATGATTAATGTAATCATATAGTCGATGTTCATGATTAAAAAATGATTAAATGATTAATTATTACAAAATATAATCATGATTACTGATTACTTTTACAAAATGATTAAATGGTTAATGATTAATTTAATCATGATTACATTGTTGTAATCGATTAGGTAATTTAATCATTAAGTATTCGATTACGCCCAACACTGGTATTCAGCTTTTATATGTGTGAACGTTAAAATGTATAAGCATGGTACTTTGTACAAGTCTTATACAAAAAATAAAAATAACAATATTTGTTGACACCAAAAGTGTACTGTCGTACATTAGAATCTGTACTATAGCACCTGTTTTTGTAAAATTATTAGAGATCAAATGGTGTTATCTGTGATAAAATATTGAAGGAAAATAATATATTTTAAGACTTGTACCATGTGTTTTAAATTTAATATTCTATGATTGTGTTGCGGTCAATAGCAAAAGGCTTACTCTTCTCTATCGTGCACCCAGTGAATTCTTGTAATCTCTGTGTGAATTTTAGTTTATTGGTGTAATTATTAAGTCATTAGGACATAGTCTGAGCCGTATTTTATTTGCCATAGGAACATTTCAATTTTAATTACTAGTCCTTTTTTTTTGCATTTTAGGTTAGGTTAGGTTTAGATAGCACCCTGCCCAGTGGTTTGCGGTTCGTCGTTGTTTGAGTACATTTGAATTTTTATAATATTACACTATTAAATTTGTGTTTTAATTTTTAGTATAGGTTACTTATTGTGAATTATAAGCACAATTTTTTAAATGTTTTATTATTTTAGTTTAGTAAGAACGATAGACATCGGGTTAAACGTACCAGTGATTATTATCTAGTCGGCCAAATGAACAAATTTTCATTATTATTTATGAATGGTTTTTTTAATTATTCATTATTTTTTTAATTTATTTGTATTATTCTGTACTAATTAATGTTCTAATAAAAAATTTTAGTTTTTATAATATTTTACTTAGGCTTACCAGCTCACCCAACGTTATCTTATTAGTCTCTAGTCATTATAGTGTAATGTTATTTCGTGCCAAGAAGCCATTTTGTTGTTCAGTTATATTTATTATTACTCTACCTTAATGTTCTACCAAATTTTATTCAGCCAAAGGGCCAATTGTTTATTTATTGTTTGTTTATTATTCAGTAATTATTGAGTTGTAATTGATTTTTTTAAATATATATTTTATTATTGAAGTTGTATTTAATCCAAGTCATTTAATAAAGCACACAGCCAAATAGTACACACACATACTCATTGATCACTTCATAGCTCTCTCGTTTTGCGCAGACGACATCTCCAACTTCAAGTTAAGCTATATTAAGTTTGGGTTTATCGCCTTGTAGGTATGAAGTTGGCAATGAAATAGATAAATATAATTTTGTTATTATCATATTAAGTACTCCTAAGAAGAGGAATGTTTACCAAAAAAAGGACCAACTCCAAAATGATCAACTATATTTAAAATTAAAAAAAAATTTAAAAAATATTAGGTTGGTTATTAATAACGTAATAATGCCACTCTTGCTTTAACTATCATTGTTCTAAAATTTTAGTTTAGTGTTTTGGTAGTTTCAACAGCCTTGAATTTAAATAATAGAAGTCAGCAACAAATTTAACTGAAACTTAACCACAGCTAGATCCTAATCTCCAATTTCATCGCATTCAAACTCTGTTACTTGAATCTACCTAATGATACCTCCTTAACTCGTAGAAAATAATAATAATTTTGTCGAAAAAGAAAATAAGTAACAAAGTGATTAATAATGGTTATATGTTTTATTTAGACTAATTATATTTTATAAAGACAGCAGATAAATGTAACACAATGTATTATTATGATCAAAACAATAGTTTAAATATCATTTAGCAATGAACATACATTTTCTTATTAAAGTGATTATGAATTTTTTATACGTGGTTAATAATTTATAATAAAAACATTTTTTTTTTACATCGGATATTCAAATATTTTTCATCTTTCATTTGGGAAGACGAAGTTGGTGAATTGGTTACCTCTTATATAGAATACTAGAGTACTTAAACTTGTATTACTCATTGAATAACATGTTCGTAAACGAATAATATTTTTAAATTAATAAACACCTTACATCGCCTAAAGTGGTAAAAATAATTATATAATCGTATTCAGCTTTTATATAATATTTTATCATTAAAATTCGTGAGCATTGTATTTTTTATAAGTTCCATATAGAAAAATGTTGTTTGCACCAAACTTGTATTAAAGTACACTATAGAGTCTGCACTGTAGTATTTGTTTTTGGCAACGGTTTTCCGCCAACTGTTTTGCTGCATGTTTTTCTCGTAATAAGAGTCAAAAACAATGTAAGATCTACCAATAGCCAAGAAAACTCTTCTGCCTTCCATTATTATCAATCCGACCCGATGTAGGTAATAGGTAAAATAGATTTTTAAGAAATAATTCCTATATTTTTAAATGATCCATTCTAGAGTTTAAATTTATTTAGGTCTTTCCCAAATTGTAATAGTGTAACACCATAGCCTAAAATTACTTTGCATCTATGTATTTTGCATATACCAGGCATATTTTTTTTTCAATTGACACTCAGTAGCTAACCTTTTCTTTCATTTGGAAAACATTTTAAAACACCTTAAGAGTAAAATACTAGATAGTACTCGCTTATACAATTACTAGTTATATTATATTGTTATGAATTCCGAACGTTAAACTATTTATAAAATAATGTTTAATACCACAGACGTATTCGTATTGTCGATAGAAATAAATAAATAATGATACAGACGATACTATTTGTTCAATGGAGTTAACTACAATACCGGGTTGTCGCGAATGCCACCAATTAACTGTTAATGCAACAAAACGGTGGTTTCCATATTATTATTTTGTATTTCACTGCATGCACACAAAATATTCCTTTTAAATATTTTATAGGAAATATCAAATATGATATTCGATATTTGTATTTCTTCTAACTAGGCAAACTGACTTGAGTTTCTTCTTATCTCTAGTCATTAAAATAGCATGCAATCCTCCCAAGTTAATACCGACACGGGCAAACGAATTGGTCTTATGTAATGGAAAATAGCGTAAACCCCCTTTTTATTATTATTATCGCTATTAAATAAGCAATCGTCAACGATCAAAAATATTTTAATAATAAATGTAAAATCCGAGCTTTTTTATTTATTTATATTTTGTTTACCACTATATCTGTAGGTATAATATCTGCAAGTCGTTTTTTTTTGTTCATACACAAAATAACAGGTACAGCCGTTCTCGGTACCTACTGTTTGCTGTACAAACATACGCCGGATGAGTGTTGTACTTGTTTTAAGAATAATATTCTTCGGTTTTTTTAACAAATTTTGAAACACATTGAAATGGGAGACAAAGTGTTTAACACTGATTATTATATATTTTATTTCGATTTATAATTTATAAAGACAACAGTTCAATGTAAAACAATTTATTATTTTGAATCGGAAGAATAATTTAAATATAATTTAGCAATGAACAATTTAGTTAAATAGTGAATATGATTTTTTATACGTGGTAATGAAATATAAAAAAAAAAATATATTTTTTACATATGATATTTAAAGTATCTCTATCATTCATTTGGGAAAACAAAGTCGTCGAATTGGTTACCTCTTATAAAGAATAGTAGAATATTTAAACTTGTACCAGACAAATAACGGGTGGTGTCTAAATAGAAGATTATAAATCTATATACAAGATGACCAAGAAATTCGTGATCCTCATAATTTCTAGTTTTTTTTTTAATTAATGCTAAATCTATTGTAGGCGCTCCATAATCCGAATTTGGTTCAGTGACACTACCGAGAATGTGGTTTACTTCGCCCTCTAGTTTTTCTATAATTGTATTTAGCTTTTCGTCTTCGGGTGTATATAATTCACTCAGTAAATTTAGTACGTCGTTAAAAAAAGGGTCATCAGTCAGGAAAGTACAAACTTATTCGTTTATTATCTCTATTAACCTATTATAACGACTTTGAGCTTGACTTCCTATTTTTTGATAAACGAATAAAATTATCCATACATGACTGTACCATTTCGCTTTTATGACGTCCAACAAAACTTTGTGTAACTTAATGTGTTTGAACGGTTGTTTTGGCCATTCCCCACTTTCATATTGATCCGAGAGATTGTCAATTTCCTCATTAATTATAGGATATATACATGTCCATCGAAATAAAAGGCCCGTTACGTTTTCAGTAAATCCACGAGGCAACGTGACAAGACAAGGTTTCGTGCATTGGTTTTATTAAACGCAGTTAGTCTATTTAAATTTTCAAATGATATAAATTTACATCGTAATTTACATGTAAAATAGTGCTTACAAATTAATTTATCTTAAAAACCACCATCAAGAATGAAACACGTTGTATGTCAGATGACGGTTGGGCATCAAGAATTAAGGAGTAGTTGTGATTAGAAGAAATGTAACCAACGGAGAAAAGGAAAGAGATAGTAGGCCACGACTGGGAAGATGGAAGGGATAATCGACAACTCGATATACCTCCTTAACTTCTAGAAATCAAAAACCAATTTTTTTCAAATTAAAATGAGTTACAATGTGATTGATAATTATTAAATGTTTTATTTAGTTTTATAATTTATAACGACAACAGCTAAAGCTGTGACAATTTATTATTATGAATCAAAACAATGGTTTAAATAGCATTTAGCAATGAACATTTTATTACTGTAGTGAGTATGAATTTTTATACGTGGTTAATAATTTATAATAAAAAATTGTTTTATTTTACATTTGATAATCAAAGGTTTTCATCATTCATTTGGAAAAACAAAGTCGGTGAATTGGTTTCCTCTTATGTAGAATAATAAAATACTTAAACTTGTTATATCCATGTCTCTATTTATATTTAAAACAAAGTGCTTCAAGCTATTTACATGATCATGTAGAAATTTGGGATCATTAAACCTTTTAGTCTTTCGATTGATTAATTCATAAGCAATTGTAGCCTCTTTATATTCATAATTCGGTCCAGTGACACTTCTCAAAATGCGGTTGACTTCGTTCTTTAATAATTCTATAGTTGTATTTATCTTATCGTCTTCGGGTGTATATATTTTACTAAGTAAGATTAATACGTCATTAAAGGTTTGGTCATCAGTATACATAAAATTAAGTTGTGCATTTATTACATGTATTAACTTATCATACGTGTATTGAGCTCTACTTCCTATTTTCTGATAAACGAACAAATATATCCAAATATAACAGTACCATCTCGCTTTTATGACTTCCAAAAGAACTTTGTGTAACTTAATGTGTTTGAACGGTTGTTTTGGCCATTCTCCACTTGTATATTGCTTCGAGAGATGGTCAATTTCCTCTTTAATTATAGGATATATACATGTCCATCGAAATAAAAGGCCGGTTATTTTTTCAGTAAATCCACGAAGCATCAAGCACAAGTGCTTCAACACTAAATTTCCGACATCAATCCCCAATCTCAACTTATAATTATCAAAGAAGAAAATTCGATATTTTTGGTCGTCCATTTTCAAAGACATATCTGACGGTAGAGGATCATCGTTAATTATGTAATTATTTCCACGACACTCCGTTAAAATTTTCCGTAGGCTTTCTTTAATCTCTGGTAAGCAATCGTTTGGCAATTTTGATGTGTCCAACAAGTTTTTTTTTTTATCTAACAGTTGTACATGCAACTTCCATAGCCAATCGCTCACTATAAATCCACCTCTGTAAGACATGTCTATCATTAAGTAGACGTAATGGACAATATCTTTTAAATCATCTTCTCCTTGGGCTAAAGCGGCCTTAAGGAATACGCAGTTCGTGCAATGTATCTCTTGTAATTTACGATAAAATTTTATTTGAGTTAAAATTCTATTGTTTAGCGATTCGCCGTCGTCACATTTTGAGGTCAGTGTCGTTATGTCGTTAGTGCTAAATTCAATTGGTCTGGAACTTAGTGTCTTGTATGCGTTCAACGTTTCAATAAAGGCAACCTCATACGGTGCAATGTACATGAATTGTTGCAAACGTTCCACCTAAAAACATGCAATAATTCAACTTGGTTTTGAATATTATTTTTGTTAAACGCATTTTGTGTTTAGACATTATAAATATAGGATATATAAAAATGTACATAAAAGAGGGAAGGAAAAGAAATAACAGGATACGCCCGAGAAGGACAGAGTGGCGAAAATGTGATGTAAAACATCAAAAGTCATCTCAGCCTGGTGCAAGAGACAAATATGAGAAAGAATGGAGTGAGAGTCAGCAAGAAAGGTAGGGGAAATTATGACTCCACAACAGATTGTGCATAATCGATTTAACTAAATGATCCTCAATATTCACTTTTACATCACCCATAGCAAACCATGCTATGCGTGATGCAAGCAAAAGCAAGACGATCAGCAATTGATACCTGGCTTACAGTTACCTTCATTAGTGACATAACTTAAAACCTAGAGAGACTTTAATTCCAAGGCTAAGTCAGTAGACTAGACATTCATTTACGAAATCAAGAAGAGGAAGTGAAGAATTGAAATATTATAAAAAATAGCTAGATATACAGTAGGAAGGATTGGAAATTAAAAGCAATAGGGACGTTGTATTGGTCAAGGGAAATTTAAATAGTAGATCATAGCATTAGGTCTTGAACGGTAATGAGAACGCAACGAATTTGTCCACATAAAAAATTTGAGTGCTGATTTGGAAGAGACAGAACCAGCGGTGAAAACAAGTCAGGAGTTAGGGATGTTTGATGGATAAAAATTATAGAACAAAGATCCAACTAAAGAACGGAGCAGACTGGAACGTTGTTCAAAAGTATAACTATGAAAAACAGTACATATGGTAACATCTGGCACGACAACATTGAACAAAGACCAAATTTATTTTTACAATACCTAAATGGACACAAAATATTTTCATTTACATAATTTTGGTAACTTGAAAATAAGTCCCAAACGAGTATTTCTAATTTCAATATATATTTTTATTTACTTGTATCTTTTGATAAACTTCTGAATCCGATATCGCGCTGGTTATTTCGGAGACAGTCGGTTTGCGTAAAACCTTTTCGGATAACCGTTCATGTTGGATCCTTCTTTCATTTTCTTTTTCATTTTCGTCATCTTGACCATTGGCCTCCGTTAAAAAACAGAAAACGAACTTTAGTACTAAGAAAATAATTCTTAATTGCAGCTTCATAATGTCGCTAACCAGCTTTCAGAATAATAAGACAATATACTTAGGATAGGAGAACAATATGAGTGAACAAAAGAATATGTATAATATGTTTAAACTAACACAGACTTTACATCGCCTAAAGCGGTAAAATTATTTACATAGTCGTATTCAGTTCTTATATATTTGATCGCTAAAATTTATGAGTAGGGAATTTTATTTAAGTTCCATATGAAAAAAAAACAATAACAACAATTATTGACAACAAAAGTGTATTGTAGTTCGCTATAGAGTATATAATGTAGTATTTGTTTTCGGCATCGGTTTGCTGCCAACTGTTTAGCTGTATTTTTTTCTAGAAATATAGGTAAAAAATAATTTAAGATCTACAATTAGTCAAGACAACAGATCTGCCTTGCCATTTATACCAATCCGGTCCGATAAAAGTTCAAAAATATCTAAAAGAAATAATTCCTTTATTTTCAAATGATCAATTCTAAAAGTTAAATATTTTTAATGCTATCTCATATTTAAGTATTGTTTCCTCATCTAGGTATTTTGCAATGTATTAAACTATGTAGCTAACCTTTTCTTTCCTATGGTAATATATTTTAGACACTAAAAAAGTAAAATACTTGTTAGTACTCGTTAATTACACAAATACTAGTTTTATTATATTGTTATGAATTCCGAACGTTAAAATATTTACAAATTAATGTTTATTATCCCAGATGTATTCGTATTGTCGATAGAAATAAATAAATAATGATTCAGACAATACTATTTGTTCATTGGAGCTAACTACAATATCTGGTTGTCACGGATGCCACCAATTAACTGTTAATGCAACAAAACGGTGGTTTCCATATTATTATTTTGTACTTCGCTGCGTGCACACAAAATATTCCTTTTAAATATTTTATAGGAAATACCAAATATGATATTCGATATTGCATAGTGTAAAATTTCACAGTCCAAAATAGTTAACAGTAAGGTTGAATCAACTGTTATCGTTGATATCTTATCGCCAAGATATATTAAACGATATTTGTATTTCTACTAACTAGGCAAACTGACTTGACTTATTCTTTACTATAGTCGTTAAAATAATATGCAATCTTCCCAGGTTAATACCGACAAGGGCAAACGAATTGGTCCTATTTAATGGAAAGTAACGTCAACCCCCTTTTTATTATTACTATCGCTATTAAATGATCTTTCGTCAACGATCAAAAAAATTGTAATAATAAATGTAAAATCCGAGCTTTTTTATTTATTTATATTTTGTTTACCACTATATCTGTAGGTATATTATCTGCACGTCGTTTTTTTTGATCATACACAAAATAACAGCTACAGCCAATCTTGGTACCGACTGTTTGCTGTACACACATACGTCGGATAAATTTTGTACTTGTTAATAAAAATAATATTCTTCGGG